ACGCCCTGCTTACCCTAAACCTTGCATCCCTCAGGACACCCTAAAGTGCTTTGCCAAGAGGCCCCTAGCAAAGCCCGGTCCCGAGCTTTTGGGGTGGAGGGTTTGGGGTTCAGTGTTTGTGGCGTTGGGTTGACGTTGTAGACTGAAAGGCTAAGGGTTGAGTATGTTCAGTGTTTGAGGCATTCTTGCGCGGTGTAACTTGAAGGGTTGAAGGGTGTTGTTTCCCCTGAATTCCCCACAGAAACTCTTCAACTCCAGACCCTTTATCTAAAAACCCTCCATGGCAAGCATCCATTCCGAGCCCTTAGGCCCAAAGCCTTACATTTCAAACCTTCAACCCCAAACCCTAAAACCAAAAACCATAACATGTGCGGGTTGTCCTTATAAAAAACTGTAGTTCGAGCTCCTCCACTCTGGTTCCTATTATAATCCCATGTGCACCCCAAAACGCAAGAGAGCCTTTGGCCAAGGCTGCTGTGCGTAAACAGCGCCGATGATGTGGCCAAGGGCCCAGTTGCATGTTGTGCTACAGGTGTCATGGGGTTCCCCGAGAAATCCCGCGTTGAACCTTGGCAGTTGGAAATGGCAGTGAATACTGCATGAGTCATGAGTGTATTTGAGGCAAGAAATTTCAAAGATATGCAGTGCATATTTACATATTTGCATGTTACATATTACACACTTATGCAGACATACTATGATATATTACACACTTTTGGCTCAAGCTACTCGGCTTGTTGGATAGTTGGGCAAGAGTGTTGACTCGACGCTATGCCGGTGGTGCTTGAGGTGCAGATGGGGCGCCACTTTTTTGTGGATCCGCCAAATTGCTATGCCACGTTTACCTATGAAGGCAAGGAATTTCGCACAGAGACACATCATGGAGCAACGAATCCGAAGTGGCCAAAACACAAATGTGAACTTGGTTATGAAGGAAAACCTATTGAAATTGAGTTTGCAGTGATGCAGCGAAAGAGTCGAGAAGAACAGGTCAGGATTGCTTCAGTGACGATCAAGTGGGAAAACTTGGTCCCTGGCCTACGGAAGGTGGACGACTATGACGTCATAGCTGAAGCGGAGGGTGTCCGTGACACAGCAGCCATTCGTGTGGCGGCCACGTTGATCCCCGAGGGCATCACTGGATCGCCGCAAGAACAACGAGAGAATGGACCCCGACGGAAAGCCCTTTTCGTGGGCGTTTGCTATGCTGGCACGTCTTCGTTTCTGGAAATGTGTCATGAGGATGCTTGGAAAATGAAGGATTTCTTCTGTGAGCACTACGGCTTCATCGATGCACCCGAGACCATAAAGGTACTGATGGATGCTGAGAACACACCAGAAAGTGAGAGACCTACCAAGGAGAACATCAAAGCGGGAATCAAGTGGTTGGTAGATGAAGCCGTTGCAGGAGACAGCCTTCTCTTTTACTATAGTGGACATGGCTCTCGAGTACCTAACACCAATGACAGGGAAAAAGATGGCTTTGATGAGGCCTTGTGTCCAGTGGATATGGAAGAGAATGGATTGTTGGTTGATGATGAGCTGAATGAAATCTTGGTGCAGCCGTTACCTGCGGGTGTGCGTTTGACGTGTTTCCTGGATGCATGTCATAGTGGAACCGGGATGGATCTCCCTTACCATTGGCAACCCTCTACGGAGGGGACTGAGTGGCAATTGGATCAGGGTGGCTACTATTCTGAAGCCGATGTGATTTGTGTGAGCGCAGCGGCTGATGATGAAACTGCCAAGAACATCCCCGCGTTGGCTCGGAAGCGTCCGGACCATCCGGCAGGGGCCTTCGCGGGTGCTCTTTTAGTGGCCTGCGAAGTACATGAGAAGCAATGCACGCAGAATTGGAAAGAGATGTTGACAGTCATCATGCACGTATGCAAAGACTTTCGCTATGGGCAAAGTGTACAACTTTCGAGCTCTCAGAACTTTGACCTCACTCGAGAGTTCAATCTTCATGACAACATTCCGAACAGCAACGAGAGGATTGGCCCTGTGACGGAAGGCAACGGAAAGCTGGTCGGGGAGGGCTTTGCGTTTTGGAGCCCACCACCACCGGAAAATCCATTGTTTGCCGGCATGAGTCCAGAAGAGAAGTTGCGTATCATGGCAGCGCATGGGGGTCAAGCCAGCGCCATGCTTCTGGCCCAGCTAGAAGCATTAAAGGCGATGAATCCAGGGGTGCAGTAGAGAAATTTGGATTTTTCACGTGACCAATTTGAATTATCACGTCACAAAGCCCCTTGAAAAATTCAGCGGCTAATCTCACCTGCTTAAAACACAAGCAAAACATTGCCGCCAAAAGGCGAACAATTTGTGACACGAAAAAAGTGCGGGGAGAGGGAGATCTGCAAACTCTACAGATCGCTGGATTTGAATTGCACTTTGTTCCTCCAC